TATAAATTATATATATATATATATATATATATATATATATATATTACATAAATTAAAATTACATATATGAACTCTAAATTAATTTTATATATAATATTTACATAAGAATAAAAATTATAAACTTAAAATTAAATTATATTTTAATATTTATATATATATATTCTCCAAAGTATAAATTATTTTCATTTCTATAATATATATATATATATATATATATATATATATATATATATTTTAACTATTTAAAAAACTAATCGATTATTTCAAAAAGTAGATGAGAATCAATTATTTTTTTAAATAATTAATTAATTTTTAAATAATGAATTGGTTTTTCAAATATATATTAAATAATTATAAATAAAAAAATATAGCAACTTAAAATTAAAAAAAATAATTATTTTTAAATTATATATATTATATAAATTATAAATATAAAGTTAAAAAAATTATATTTAAAATTATAACCTTAAAAAAATTATGATTATAAAATTAATAAAAATATAACTATTTTTAATGTTAAATAAATTATATATATTATATAAATTATATATATATATATATATATATATATTACATAAATTAAAATTACATATATAAACTCTAAATTAATTTTATAAATAATATTTACATAAATAAGAATAAAAATTATCAACTTAAAAATAAATTATATTTTAATATATATATATATATATATATATATATATATATATATATATATTCTCCAAAGTATAAATTATTTTTATTTCTATAATATATATATATATATATTTTTTTTTTAACTATTTAAAAAACTAATCGATTATTTCAAAAAGTAATTGATACTTGATGAGAATCAGTTATTTTTTTAAACCATTAATTAATTTTAAAATAATGAATTTGTTTTTTAAATATATATTAAATAATTATAAATAAAAAAATATAGCAACTTAAAATTTTAAAAAAATAATTATTTTTAAATTATATATATTATATAAATTATAAATATAAAGTTAAAAAAATTATATTTAAAATTATAACCTTAAAAAAATTATGATTATAAAATTAATAAAAATATAACTATTTTTAATGTTAAATAAATTATATTATATATATATATATATATATATATATATTACATAAATTAAAATTACATATATGAACTCTGAATTAATATTTTATTTAACATTTATAGTTTTAAATTAGGTATTTAAAAAGATTTGTATATTTCTAAAATTAATAATATATTTAGATTTTTTGTTGAAAGTAGTAAAATAATATTTAAAATATATTATTAAATATTATATTTAAATTTATTTGTGTGATTAAACTTTTTTTAATTTTTTGATTATTTGATATTATAATTTTTTTAGAAATTAATAATAAATTAGGAGGATAATAAAAATCTTAAAAATTATATGTATATAAGAAGAAATAATATTTTGATGTAAAATTATATATATATATATATATATATTCTAAAATATAATTTACATTAATTACTATAATATAAAATATATATTCCAAAATATAACTTATTTTCATTTATATATATATATATATATATATATATATATAGAAATTAAAATAAATTATATTTTAGAATTATATATATATATATATATATATATATATATATATTAAATATAAATTATTTTCAAGTTGATAATTATTATTTTAATTTATGCAAAATATATATATGATAGCGGTTTTGTTAAAATTGACTCTATGATAGCGGTTTCAAGTTAACCGCTTTTATATGTTCACATATAAGAGCAGTTCCACGTTAACCGCTATTATAGTTAAAAAACTGATTGATTATTTCAAAAAGTAATCTATTAGTTTTTCATACTGAAAACCGCTATTATAGTTAAAAAACTGATTGATTATTTCAAAAAGTAATCTATTAGTTTTTCATACTGAGAACCTAGTTATTTTTTAAAATAATTGATTAATTTTTAAATAATCAATTAGTTTTTCAAATATATATTAAATAATTATAAATAAAAAAATATATCAAATTAAAATTAAAAAAATTATTTTTAAATTATATATATTATATAAATTATAAATATAAAGTTGAAAAAATTATATTTAAGATTATAATCTTAAAAAAAATTATGATTATAAAATTAATAAAAATATAACTATTTTTAATGTTAAATAAATTATATATATTATATAAATTATATATATATATTACATAAATTAAAATTACATATATGAACTCCAAATTAATTTTATATATAAAATTTACATAAATAAAAATAAAAATTATCAACTTAAAAATAAATTATATTTTAATATATATATATATATATATATATATATATTAACTATTTAAAAAACTAATCAATTATTTCAAAAAGTAATTAATTAATTTTTTCATACTTAAATTTTTGAATATATATATATATATATATATATATATATTAAAATATAATTTATTTTTAAGTTAATAATTTTTATTTTTATTTATGTAAATTTTATATATAAAATTAATTTAGAGTTCATATATTATTTTATGTAGTATATATATATATATATATATATATATATATATATATATATATAATTTATATAATATATATAATTTATTTAACATTAAAAATAGTTATATTTTTATTAATTTTATAATCATTATTTTTTAAGGTTATAATTTTAAATATAATTTTTTAACTTTATATTTATAATTTATATAATATATATAATTTAAAAATAATTATTTTTTTAAATTTAAGTTGCTATATATTTTTATTTATAATTATTTAATATATATTTGAAAAACCAATTCATTATTTAACTTTATATTTTTAATATATATTTTTTTATAATTTTTTAATATATATTTCTCATTAGCGATCGATTTTAATTCGGTCACTATTTTAATTTGTGATTCGGTCGCTAAATCAGTTGTTAAATAATTTTTTTATTTTAGTATGGAATAACTATCGATTTAGCGACCGAAATTTTGCGACGCAAACTATTGGTCGCTATTTCGGTCCCTAAATAAAAAAGTGAAACCAAATCATATTTTGGTGGCTAAATCGGTCGCTAATTGCGATCGAAAAAATTCGGTCGCTAATTTCGGTGGCTAAATGTGTTTTTTCTTGTAGTGTATTATCCTTGTTGGGCTCAGATGATAAAGAAGAAGAAAAGTGAAGCCATCATTAATTTACAAGATACCCAAGATCCCTATGAAGATGAAGAAGACATTGACTTTGCTCAATTTTAGCAATCAACCCCAGAAGAGTAAAAAAAGAAGATTATTGATATTATGAAACAAAAATGAATAAAAGAAGAATTACAAACGAAGATTAATCAGATTATAAGAAAATTAGAGGAAGCGGATCTTCACCAAGTCACCTTCTAAATAGTATCTCAGTAAGCAGCACTCAAAAGATGCTTGGGTCTCACCCAATTGAATAACAAATCATTTGTAATTATTTCATTTTATCTTTACCATCGACTACCAAAAATAAGGTATGTCAAATGTAAAGTTGAATAGAAAATAGTTGATATTGTCTATAAAAAAATTCATTGAAGTAAAAAGAGATACAACTCTCAAACACCTTAAACTCTATCTTCCTGAACCAACTTTTTCATAACCTTAGTTCTCAATCTGCCGTTATCCTCAAATATATTGAATATACTATAAGCTTTCTTTGAATATTTTATAATAATACTTCTTTATTCACAACTTCCTTTCTCTCGCTTTCATTCACATGCGTTGTGCCATATATATATATATATATATATATATATATATATATATATATATATATATATATATATATATATATATATATATATATATATCGCTTTTTTTTTTTTTTTACTTTCATTCATATGCGTTGGGATATATATGGTAGTAAAATTTTAGTATTTGAGCTTAGAACATAAATTAAAAGATACTATTTTAATGGTTGAAAAAATTAATTCTAAAATTAAAAAATATAAGGTAATTCAAATTTAAAAAACTAAAATTATATTAGTCTATAAAAAATTATTTAATCAACATTTTTTTACACGTATAATTAAGTTTAAGTTTACTTTGAGAATGAAAAAGTAATAATTAGAATTTTACTCATTTATTTAAACAAATGTAAGTTATCCTTCAGTTTATTTTCAAAAACATAAAGTTTCGTTTTCTTAATGTGTTCATAAATAATGTAAATATAACTTTATTTCATTTATTAAAATTCAAAATTTTACTTTAAATTTTCAGACATAATATTTTTTATTTAATAAATATAATTAAATATAATTATCTACAAATAGTTATTACCATATTACATCGTGTTAACTAAACTTCATTCAAAATATAAAGTTACACATATATATATATATATATATATATATATATATATATATATATATATATAATATCTCAATTAATATTATTTCAAAACTCTAGCTTATACATTGTCCAATAACATACTCCTCAATTAAACATACAGGAAATTGAATAAATTAATTATTAGAATATAATAATTAATCTTTACGAACAAGATTTTCTTCGTATCACATTTATTATATTAGAGTAATATATTACGTTGTGAAATTAGAGAGTAACATCTACCTGTCACTGAATCAAAACTCTCAACTCATCACCATTTTTACTACTTTGTTTTAGGGTACACCTCTCGTATCCTCAGCCATGTCACAAGTAACCCCGTTGACTTATCACCACTTATCCCTAGTTTAGTTTTTGTGAGAGGGCCTGTTAGAAGAACCTAAGTTCTATTATTTTGTACGTATGAACATGTGCAACAAGAAAAAAAAAAAAAACTCTGCGTGTTCCATGCTTCATTTTTTTATTAAAATGTGTTTCGTTTTTCTCGAGGGAAAAGTGAGATTGAGATTTCTGAATTACTATTAGGGAAGATAATACAGATTTAGGTACAGGGTTTATGATGGCATCTTTGGTAAATAGGAAGGGGGAACGTGTCAAAACACCCTCTGTGTTGGTCAAAATTATTATATAAGAGTACATTTTGCAGAACTATGATCATGCCTAAGCCATGGAGCAATTAACAAGTGTGAAAGTTCTCCAGGTTTGCACTGTGACACCATCACAGGGAGCAACAACCAATTCCTCCACCCCAACATCTTTGCCTCTCACATGCTATGACATAATTTGGTTAAGGCTTCCCCCAGTTAAACGTCTTTTCTTCTATGAACTTCCCAACCCAACCATTTCATTCTTTGACTCCATTCTTCCCAATCTCAAGAATTCTCTTTCCCTCACTCTCCAACACTTCCTCCCTCTTGCTGGCACCATCATTTGGCCCCTTGACTCTCCCCACCCTATCATCAACTATGTCCCTGGAAATGCTGTTTCCCTCACTATAGCCGAGTCCAACTCTGATTTCAACATACTTTGTTCCAATACCTGTGAGACTTCTCAACAACACCCCTTGACGCCCCAGTTAGCCAATTCCCATGAAAAAGCATCAGTGATAGCCCTCCAGGTTACTTTTTTCCCTAGCTCTGGATTTAGTCTTGGTATCGTCGCACACCATGCAGCTATGGATGGAAGAGCCTCAACTTTTTTTCTCAAAGCATGGGCCTATGTCTGCTCCAATAACCTCAAAGAATCTTCATTATTGTCATTGCCAAAACATCTAACACCCTTCTATGATAGGTCAATGATAAGAGACACCACAGGGATTGGTGCAACGTATCTGAAAGATTGGCAAGGAGGATCAAACAACAGGAGCGTGAAGTTGTTCGATTTTGGCGGTTCAGTGTCAACCGAATTAATTAGAGGGTCGTTTGAATTAACCTCTTCAAATATCCAAAAGCTCAAGGAACATGCAGAACCGATGCTGAAAGAGAATGCTCGCTTGTCAACATTTTTAGTTACATTTGCTTATGTGTTGCCATGTTTGATCAAAGCAGAACAACCTAAGACCAATGGAGTGGCGCTTGTGTTCAGTGCGGATTTAAGGTCTCGCTTGTCGCCACCTATTGCGTCCACATATTTTGGAAATTGCATTAGTGGCCTGAAGGTTATAAATGAGACAAAGAAGTTGTTGGGGGACGATGGTTTCATCAACGTTCTTAAGGGATTGAAAGAAGCTTTGAATAGGTTGGAGGATGGATGCCTGAGTGTGGCAGAACCTTTATCTGAGAATAGGCAAATTTTAAGGGATAAAAAACTTTTGGCCATATCAGGGTCGCCACGGTTTGAGGTTTATAGTATTGATTTTGGATGGGGAAGGCCCAAGAAGGTGGATATACCTTCTATAGGAAAGAGTGGAACAATTTCTTTTTCGGAGAGTAGGAACGAGAATGGAGGAGTTGAGATTGGTTTGGTGTTAGACAAACAAGAAATGGAAGCTTTCACGACTCATTTTACTGAAGGGCTTGAATCCCTTTGATGTTGTTTTAGTTTCAATGGATGGTAAGATTTTAGGTTTTTGGTGTGTTGATCCTGTGCAGGGGTTTCGTTTGAGAAATAAGGATCATTTCATGATGACGAGGAAGATAAGGTTTTAGGAAACTATTATGTTAATCCATGCATTTCATTTGAGAAATAAGAATCAGTTGACGCTGCTGATGATATGATTTTAGGGAATGATGTTTTGTATATTCGGATTTGATGTTTATGAACGAGTGGTTTCAAAGTGAACACGTCTTCGTTAAAAGTTCACAAAATAATATTCGATATTTTTTCTTTTTATAACTAAACTAATCACGATTCTAACTTAATATTTTTTTTTCTTTTTATAATTGAACTAACCACGATTCTCATTTAATATTTATTTATGTTTGCTTATGGAACACAGGTATTAAAATAATAATATAATAATTCATAGTTAAAATAAAATAATAAAACAGAAAATAAACAATAATGTAATTTTATTAATACAAATAAAATAATAACACTCTATCACGTAACTAAGAAAAATAACTAAAAAGAGCAACTAATTTTTTTCTTAATTTTTCTCTCAAACTAAAACAATTAAAAAAAAGAAGAAATTTGGGAGTGTTTTATTGAGTAAACAGGGTGCTTCTTTTATGTTGTATAATTTTCCAATAGGTTGTAATAGGATCAAATCCACATAAATTTGACAATGTTAATCAATATTGTCATAATATTTTAGATTTTCATTCTTAGATTTTCATTTGTGTGAATCTTTTTGCATATCTACACTTTCTTCATTTATTATTTCTCGAATGAAATGATACTACATACTTATGTGTCCTGAAATAAAAAGTAGAATTTTTTATATAATGTGCAAAACACTCTTATTGTCATAATATATAACAAAATTTTGTTGTCTATGCCGGACTTCTTCCATTGATCCTTGTGAGGTTAATGCTTCAGAATTCTTTCCTTTATTCTTTTTGTGTTAAAAATATTTACATGCTCTCTTTTGCCATAATGGTAGAATTTTGAAATGTTTCTTACTTTGAGACTTTGATCTTACATGAGATTGACTCCCACTATATCCATGTTTTGTTGATTTACCTCTTGTCATTGCTAAAGCCTCTACTTGCTTTGAAATTTCCACC